TCAGTTGCATTTCATGCGATTTATAGTATCCAGTTGCATTTCATGCGATATATAGTATCCAGTTGCATTTCATGCTCCGATGACACATGTGATCGTACGTGTGTATTATTTTGTTTGTATGTTTGTGTAGGGGTATTTCGCCCTGAGGCTAGTGTTTATTGTCTGTAAAAATAGCTGTATCAAGAGTTTAGCTTGTTAAGCTTGCTACAGACAAACCCGTAGTTTGAGTCTTGCTCTCATTTAAGCCCTCACCCTGCCATCTACTGCTTGGTCAGGCATTTTGTCTGGGTCTGAGGGAGTGTGGTATATTGTACTTACTAGTAGTATCGCTCGTTAGACGTTGTCGATGAAATGGCGCTGCAATGTTTGTCCGAGGGAAACTGTGGTGTAGTACATCGCTTTGCCTTGAGTATGTGATGTTATCTTCTAAACTCGTGGATTGATGTTGTTAAGATGATACACGTCCTTCACATTCGTTTCACTCTGTGCACACCTCTTTCCCTATGCATTCATGAGCAGACGTCTTCGCTAGAGCAACTACTTGCAACACTGCAACGCGTGTTTAGTGCTTCTCCGCCTGTGTACGCACGACCCCCCGCGCAGGCTGCAACGGCGAACTCGCACAACAAGCCCAGCTATGGGTACGGCCAATATACCAACAACTCTACCAGTGCACACGTGCAGCCGCACGCACAGGCAGGAGGGTATCTTACCCGTGTGCAGACCCAGCCACCCTTGCCTCCCAAACCTGGAGCGCCCCCCAGACTCAAGCCAAAGCCTGGGCAACAGGGACCCCACGGGGAGGTGGGCAATGGGGATGGTAGCAGTATGGACACGAGTATGAATGGCAGTAGGAATGCTCTGAGGGGTGTGAATACCTTCTCCATGGGCAGTGGAGTGGGACAGTCATGGCAGCAGCCCGCCCAGGCACAGGTGACCCCACCGCACCCCACACACCCACAGCAAGCACAGGCGCAGCGACAGTATACACAGGCGCGGCGACAGTATACACAGGCGAGCAGCGATAGCATGTACAGTATAAGTGCGCGTGGGGATACCTACAACGCACACGCGTACAGTACAAGCCAGCTGCCGATGATGCACGCGCATTCAGAGAGAGACCTACGCCCAACAATCGGGTCACCTCAGTCTCACCCCCCGTCGGGTGGCACACAACCGCAGTCACCAATGGCAAGTGGCCAGTTTGGTGTAGCAGACAGCACACACGCACTACAACAGCCCCAGGGCTACCAGCACCACAGGCAACCTCAGGAATACCCGTCTCAGCAGCAGCAGTATCATCAACATCAACCACCACCACCACAGAGTGGCCAGAATCAGAATGGGACACCATCGCACACATCTGCGTTTGATGAACTGATGGGACTTGATTTGAGTCTGTCGGCGCCTTCGCCACTAAGTGGTGCTGTTGCGGGAGGAGAACCCAGTGCCAATGGAGTGGTGCCACTCGCCTCAACATCTCAGCAGCTAGTAGCCGGATCATCGCTGGCATCGGGTGAGTTTACAAGGTCGCTATACGGCATTGGGTCAGATTTTTGGATTACGGTTGATCGTGTATATATGGGTTTCAGTCGAACGCAAATGATATAATAGTTAACAGTAACATGTATCGCTCGAATGTTGTCTATCATTCTGTGTACTAGTAGGGTTGTGGTCACTTCGTGTTTGTAGAGTTTGCATCCGCAAAATAATAGATGAGTGCGAGACTGTCGACGGCTACGTAAACACATGCACTGACATCGGTTGAACAGAATAACGAAGATGTACGTTCCCTGTAGGCTATACAGCCCCAATACTGTTGGTCAAATGTATACAAGTGTAAGTGCACCTCTTTCTATAATAGGTGCACCTGCACCTGTCGGGCAGTCTGTCAACATGTGAGCGCAGCTCTATAACTCCCGTGATACTGGGCCAGTGGAGTGGACTGTTTGCTGGTATAGCACAGTATAGGCTGAAACCTTTATCCCATTCCTGCTCGACGTGGTCAGTAGCACAGGACTGTTGATGCGACGGTCACTCGCGCCAATTGGTTAGGAGAACGTCTGCGATGAATAGAGCACGCATTACATTGCAGGTTTTGGTTACTAGTCCTTGTCGGCTGTTAGGCTTTGCGTACGAATTGCAAATGAACACTGTGATGCACTAGCTGCATCATTGCAAGCAACTGGAGTGAGTGATAACCCGTTTCATAAACAAACGCGTTCTAGATGTTCGGCATTTAACAACTGTGAAGTCGACTTAGAATACTGATTGCATACGCTAAGTTTGATTCTTTCGTTCTCTACATAAGCGGCCAATTCTAATAATTCGCATGGCCTTACAACCCGCCTCGCCCATTCGATGAGTAGTCGTGAACGTGGATGGAACCTTTGTACTGCAACACGTACACAACGCGTCTTAAAGACTATCAGTTCACCTCACTCACTTGCTGCGAACTGTGCACAGTACATCAACATCAAATGACACACCTATCTCACGTGACATCATGAACCATTGTATTGTTACTAACCACAGGTCACCCTCCAGCTCAACCCCACAGTGCAACGGCAACGGTTGCTAATAGTACCGCTGCGGTGTCAGTGGCAAAGATGAACACTGAGGCGCATCTGGTCAATGACTCTCTGCTGGATATGGATATAACGCCTAATGGTACGTGACAACTATGACTTTTAGCGCTTTTGATTGGTGTAGCTGGATAGCAATGGATCGGGCACAATATGCACGGGCATGGTATAGAGAGAACCTGTGAATGTGGTATGGGCTAGACTGTCGCCGGGTGTTAATGGAAAGAATGTCCAGGGTATTCGGTTACTATGAATGTGACACTGGGTGTATCACCCCGCAGTCTTTCTGAATACAGCATACACAGGTGTGGTGTATGTGTAGTGCCTGCAGATGTTCTGGTTTTATTCTGGTGTACGCCTGTCTGTACGTATATTGGTAGCCTATGTCTCTGAGATGTCGAACGTTTGGGGTGAGTGGGACAAACATCCATATCCACAGGGCACCCACAGGTGTCCAATTGGCCCGGGTGTGGTGATCGTCTCGGCACAAACCGTTAACGTTATGCAGTCAACCGTTGCGTAGCTCATCTCGTTAGCTGTAGTGTGTTGTACTGAGCGTATGCAGTCCGCATACGTTCCCTAATGCGTTTCCACCGTACCACTCTCCATTGAGGAATAGTACACGCCACCTCACTGCACTGTAGTACTTGGCCTGGTAATGAGTATAGGTGTGAAACAGTCTCATACCCAAGTCTCGTTTTTTCCCTTGCAACCACGTACTAGCTGGGCCGCAGGGCCCGGATCAGCAGCGACTGCGGCGTATGAGAGCAACTAAGAAGCTGGAGTCGGTGAGTGTTATGTGGCCTCGGGCGTGCAGGGTTACTCATGTACTCAGATATCACCCCTCGTTGCTGCGGGTGTATTATATATATATATATATATATATATATATATATATATAACACACACTATATATATATATATATATATATATATATATATATATATATATATATATATATATATATATATATATATATATATATATATATATATATACTATAGTA